GACATGGAAACAGGGAAGGGAAGAAGCCTATTTTACAACTAGGCTACCATGTGGTAATACAAAGCTTGGTGAACTTAGGTCCAGAACCAATTCTGGCTCCTTTCTCAAAAGGGCATTGTGAATATGGCAGACTCTCAGGGTGCCATGACCAGGAATTAAAAAAAAAAAAAAAAAAGTGAGTGGGAATCCCTGGGTGGTATAAACAGTTGAAAAGAAAAAACAAAAAGGAAGAACAATGACATGACAGCCTGAATCTGATCCAGGCTGGGAAACAGGAGGAAACAGGTAGCACCCAGCTGGTCTGTCCTTCTGCCTGGAATGCTTATTTAACTCTTGTTATTCAGACCTCGGCTCTAACGTCACCCCTTGGAGATCACTGCCGTTGACTCATAGTGATCCCTCCTTGGGTTTCCAAGGATTGCCCAGTCTTCCTTCGGAAGAGTGGCTGGTGGGTTTGAACTGCCGGCCTTCTGGTTAGCAGCCAAATACTTAGGCACTATGCCACCAGAACTCCACATCTTTTTTCTTCCCTTCCCGGCATGTGTCACTATCTGACGTTATCCTGTTGATTCACTGCCTGCCATGTCCACTATCATAGACACTCTTAGAGGGCAGGCCCTTAGCCATATCACTCAAGGTTGTATGCCAACACCCAGAATGGTGCCTAGCACTTAACAGACGCTCCATACATGATTGTTCAGTATATGGATGCTTGAATGTTCTCCACAGCCAACCCTCCAAAGCACTAGGTGCAGACCTTGTGGTGAGAAAGGGCTGTGTAGGCCAGGCCAGGCAAAGCTGCCAGGTAACAGAATGCTGGGTGGATTGTTAAGGGAGGAGGGTTCCCTGGGGCATTGGGCTGGACTTCTCATTTAAAGGAGGCAGGGACTGGGGAGGGCCCACAGCCTGGTTTAACCCCTGCAAACTGGGCTCCTTCCTTTACTCCTCCCCTGCCCTATCCCCTGCCTTCCATTTGTTCATCAACACCTTCCCTGGCAAACTTGAAAGATGAAGGGTGGGGTGGGCTTGGCAGTTTCAGCTCCTTTATCAGATAATCAAGTGACAATTTCCTTCTTGGGTGTGAGTCCCAGGAATATTATTGTTGTTGTTGGTGGTGGTAAAAAAGAAAAAAAAAAAATCTTCAAAGACTGTGGAAGAAACACCAGACAACCAATGTTCTGCATGTTTTCACTTCATAGCCTTGTAACATTTGTTCAAATCTCACAAAACTCACTGCCATTGAGCCAATTCAGACTCATAGTGACCCCCATTGGGTTTCCAAGAACATAAATCTTTACGGAAACAACCTGCCCCATCTTTCTTCCATGGAGCAGCTGGTGGTTTTGAACCACTGACCTTTTGATTAGCAGCCAAATGCCTTAACCACTATACCACTAGAGGATTTGGCCAATTTCTAGCTGGGTGACCTTGGACAAATTACCTAACATCTCTGTTTCAGTTTCTTCTTTTTATAATAACCATGCTTATTTCATGGGTTTTCGTTGAGTATTAAAACCAAAAAAAATCACTGCCATGGAGTTGATTCTGACTTATAGTGACCTCACAGGACAGAGTAGAACTGCCCCAGAGCGTTTCCAAGGTTGTAAAACTTTGCAGAGGCAGACTGCTTCATCTTTCTCCCACAGAGCAGTTGGTGAGTTTGAACTGCCAACCTTCTGGTTAGAAGCTGGGTGCCTTAACCACTGTGCCACCAGAACTGCTTAGTTGAATATTAGAAATGGAAAAATAGGCAAAGTTCCTAGACCAGAGTGTGGCATGCAGTGATTTCCAACAGGACTGTGGTTCCTAACCCTTTTTTTAAACTCAGCCTTACCTCTGTGTCCTAGTTCCTGCTGCAATCCACTCCCCACTAAGTTGGCTGTAACAAACACTCATTTCCAAAGGCTCCGATCTCTTTAAGGATGTGGGGAGGCTCCTTGCATTCATTGCTGGGGAACATAGGTGGCTGATTTTGTAGGGGGAGGGGGAGGAGGCGGCAAGGCAGCCTGGTGGTAAACAGATGGGAGCTGATTTATCTCAACAGCACTTGATTGAGGAGGGTGGGCAGGAAAGGGCTGAGCCCTGCTGTTTGGCAGTGACTTCCCCTCCCCTGTTTCAGTTCTCATAGCCTTTACAAAGGTTAATGTTGAAACAACTACAAGATTAATATTAGAATCCAGCCTCCATGTAAAGAAGGAAGCATTAGAGTTAAGATTTCATTCTCCTTTGACTCTTGCCCCAGTTTTGGGCACACTCCCTGTGGGTAACACTGTTACTCTTTTGGTCACACTGCCCCTTTGTGACATCTCCTCTTAGGGCTGCTCAGGTTGTTCCAGGCTGCAATGGCCTGGCCATCCAGTCCCCTTCCTAACCAATCCTGTTGCTGTTGTTAGGTGCTGTTGGGTCAATTTTCACTCATAGCGGCCTCATGTGACAAAGCAGAACTACCCCATAGAATTATCTAGGCTATAATCTTGATGGGAGCAGATTGCCAGGTCTTTCTCTGGAGGAGCCACGAGGTAGATTCAAACCACCAACATTTTGGTTAGCAGCCCAGTGCTTAACCAGGGCTCCTTAACCAACCCTACAGAGGACTTATGAACTTCTAGAAGTCTTTCCAGAACTTCCCAGCCAGTGCTTTCTCCCTCCTCTGAAGTGCTACCAGAATTTATCTCACAATTCCCTAGCATTTCCTGTCAGTGGTTAGTCTTATCCCTCTCACTAGAGTGGAAGCCCTCTGAGGCCAGGCCCTGAGTCCCGAACATCCTCTGTATCCCATAGTCTCTGGCTCACACAGTATGAATGAGGTCAGTCAAGGAAACGGCATTGTTGAAGGAAGAATTGTCTGTTTTAACATGGGAGGCCCTTGACAGGCTTGCTGCTGGGCTCTGTTCTGACCAGTGATTGAGGGATTTCTGTTGAAGATGCCAGTTTCACAGCCTTCCTGATGAGCCAGGAAAAAAAGAGGCAAGAAGTGATGGGTCCAGGCAGATCCTTGCTCAGCCACTTACTAAATTTGTGTGACCTTGGACAAGTCATTTTATCTCTTGGAGCTTTTTCAGCTATAAAATGCAGACAGCTGTCACTTCCTATCTCACAGATTGTTGTGAGGATCTTATAGGGGTAATGAGCTTGCCTCCAAATGCAATTTTATGTATGGGGTTGTGGAACAAACGGATAAGCGCTGGGTTACTCACTGAAAGGTTGACAGTTCTAGTTCTCCCAGAGGCCTCTTGGAAGAAAGGCCGGACAATTTACTTTTCTGACAATCTACTTCCTAATGGTCATAGGCATTAAAAGCCTATGCACCATCCGAATCTGACCCACATGGGGTTAGTCACCATGACTCTGAATCTGCAAGTTTAGGTTTACAGAGGCTTTTAAATTGCACTGGGAAAGATAAAGGAGAAAGTACTGTTAGCATCTCTCCAGCATACCCTCTGGCGGAGCCAGGAGACCTGTGGGGTGGAGCTGGAGCAAGGCGATGCGGTAGTATTTTGAGTATTAAGGTATTCACTTCTCCTCCCGAGCCTAACGCTGCCCCCTCCCACCTTCCATCTCAGAATAATAGCAGGCTTAATTTCAATTGTTAAATATGGTGAAAAGATTAAATAAAACAGCCAGCGATTGACTGCGCTCCCCTCACTGTCTGGTTGGAGAGGCGGCGTGCGGCTTTGCGCGTCCGCCCCGCCCCGCCCCGCCCCGCTCGGCCCGGCCCCGCCTCGCCCCGCTCGGCCCCACCGCTGCTGATTGGCCCGCTCCGTGTGCCGTCACGCTGCAGGTTTTAAGGCAGAGTCCCTCGCCCGCTCTGCAGAGATCGAGGTGACGGTGAGCTGGAGGCTGGTAGGGGAGCTCACGTGGCAGTTCCTGTGGCCGTTCCCGTGGCCGCTCCGGTGGCGAGCCCGGAGAGGCGTGGGGAGAGCGCGGCTGACGGAAGGTGAAGGGGCTTTTCTGCGGGTGCTGAGGCGGCCCGGGTCTGGGGCCTGGGGAGCTGGGGTCGGCAGGAGAGTGTCGCGGGACGGTGAGGAGGGGGTCGCGGCTGGAGGAGGGGTTTGTCAACGGCCTACGGAGGTGGAGGGAGAGTGGGAGCGGGCCGGAGCCCTCTGGTCTCAGCTCTCGCTTCCTGACTTTTAATTTGCTGGAGGGGCTGACTGACCTCTCCCTTCAGGCCAATATTCTTGTCTGGGATTGGGGGTCGCAGCGTCAGCATTCCATGCCAAGAGCTCGGAAAACAGGCGTTGCAAGCTGACTGTCCAGTCGAGACCTTGCTCCCTGCCTGAGTGTCCCGGGACCCGGAGGGCTCCTCTGGGGCCGTCAGGGACCCCAGGTAGGGAGGAGCGACTGACCAGTTCTTCGAAGCTCTCATTTCTGTTAACCTGCAGCCGCTTACAAAGAAAAAATCGTTTTTATTAAATGTCTCCTTTTTCACTCCTGTTCAGATAACCCAGCTGTGGTGCCCAGCCTGCAATTTCAAGGCCTCCTCCCTGCCTTTACTGGGAGCCCTGAGTCCTCACCAGAGAGCACCATGGGGAACCACTTGACCGACATGGCTCCCACCGCCCCCTTTTTGCCCCACTTCCAGGCCTTGCACGTCGTTGTCATTGGGCTGGACTCATCCGGGAAGACCTCCCTCCTTTACCGGCTCAAGTTCAAGGAGTTTGTTCAGAGTGTCCCAACCAAAGGCTTCAACACAGAGAAGATCCGGGTGCCCTTGGGGGGGTCCCGCAGCATCACCTTCCAAGTGTGGGACGTTGGGGGCCAGGAGAAGCTGCGGCCGCTGTGGCGATCCTACACGCGCAGGACCGACGGGCTGGTGTTCGTGGTGGATGCTGCCGAGGCAGAGCGCCTGGAGGAGGCAAAGGTGGAGCTCCACCGAATCAGTCGAGCCTCGGACAACCAGGGTGTACCTGTGCTGGTGCTGGCCAACAAGCAGGACCAGCCAGGGGCACTGAGTGCTGCTGAGGTGGAGAAGAGGCTGGCAGTCTGGGAGCTGGCGGGGGCCACTCTCACCCATGTGCAGGGCTGCAGTGCTGTGGACGGACTGGGCCTGCAGGCGGGCCTTGAGCGCCTGTATGAGATGATCCTCAAGAGGAAGAAGGCTGCCCGGGGCAGCAAGAAGAGGCGGTGACCTGAGACTGCCCCCTCCCCACCTAGTAGGGGTCTGCATACTGGGACAGCAAGGCAGTGGTAGCCCCTCCGTCACTCACTCGGGGTGCAGGACCTGCCCCTCAGTGAAGTACTGAGGTGCACGGGGCAGTCCTATTTGGGTGCCACTTTGGGGAGGGGAACGGGGTGATGGGATGTCTTTATGCATCTCTCCCTCATCCTCACCTGGGAGAAGAAGGAGCGGCAGGACTGTGGAGACTTAAATGTAAACTGACTCTACCTCGACCCCAATTCTCGTTTTTCTTTTCTGGTTCTTTTGTTGGATGTTTCCAGAGAATGGAAAGTTGCTTGGAGAATGTGTTTGGGACGAATGAGAACTACTCTGGCTGGGGACTCTCCTGGTTGCTACTCTAGGGGTGCCAGTCACAATAATCTTATTTTTGTGTTGTGTGAAAGTGCCAAGAACCCCTCCCCACATTTGTAGACCCACAACCCTTTTTATAGACTATGTGTGCCCTCTGTATTATTGTAATTAATTAATTTTTTTTTTTTTTTTTTTTTAGCATTGCCCTGTAAGTTATTAAAGACTGATGACACTGTAGCTCTTACCTGGGTCTGGAATGTTCCTCTCTCCTTACCTGGCCCTAAGATAGTGCAGGATTTCTCTCTGGGTGGGGGTGGGAGGCTCTTATCCTCTCTGGGTGGGGGTGGGAGGCTCTTATCTTGAAGCTGAATTTGCAAAGCAAGCACTCTTAAAAAGTTTGTGTGTTTATGGATAGCTGGTGGAAATTGTGAGGGTTGTGGAAACTCCCAAGCCTGACCTCTGCCCTTTTGTAAAAATGTGTTTTTTCTCCTTCTCATCTCTAGCTCTTGCCCATGATACCAGCTGGTCCTTGTGCATTTAATTTCAAATGTGCTTATCAGAGCTGCTCTTAGGTTTAAATAGGTATGGTCTCCAAAAGCCAATCTGTCCCCATCTCCCTTCCCTGCCCCCAGCAGATTGCTCTGATTTTTTTTTTCCCTCCCTTGGGGATGAGGTGGGAATGAAAAGTAATTCTTCCTGGCTTTAAGCCACCTCTGAGCACTCAATCCTTCTGACTGCAGCTCCCTGCCTGGCTGGCACTGGGGAGGCCTGGGCTGGATGGAGCCGGCCTGGCCCTGGTGACTCAGCTGAGAGTCAGCTAGCTCTGGGAATGGCAGCTATTCCCACCTCAACTCAGGGCAGCAGCTGCAGCTCTGTGTGCCTGACGGATGTAAGAACTGCTAGACACCCACTCCCTACCCTCTGGGAGAGAATACAGACCAGACCCACTCCCTACCCTCTGGGAGAGAATACAGACCAGAGGATGCAGACCACGTTGCTCGTAGTGCTAGTAACAATAAATGCTAACTTTGAGAGGGCCAGAGTGCCCCGTCTCCGCTATTACCAGGGCCAGCTATGTCCGAGATAACAACAATTCGAGGGGGTTGCTCTTGTAGCGTAGTGCCTAAGGCACTGGACTGCTAACCAGAGGGCTGGCGGTTCAAACCCACCAGCCACTCCTCGGAAGGAAGATGGGGCAATCTACTTCCGTAGTGATATTGCCTCAGAAGCCCAAGGAGGGGTTGCTATGAGTCGGGTCCAACTCGACGGCACATAACAACAACAATCTTCCTGGGTGGGAGAAGTGAGTGAAAACCAAGCACAGATTCCTATCCTCTGGTCCCACCCCTCCCTTAGTGCAAATACGGAATCCCCAGGATAGGTAGAGTCCCTGCTCCAGAATCAGATGTAAGAACTTAGGGAGGGAGAGAAGGGCAGCACCTCCTGGGGAGGCATCCTAAGGTATGTGCTTTCTGGTTGTCCCCAAACCCAGGGCAGGCAGGGGCTGAGGTGTCCTGCTGAGTCTGGGCCAGTTCAGGTTTGCCCCTGGACCTGAGGCTGGCAGGACGTGGTGGGTGTGCATCGATCCAGAACAGTTCTGAGTGTGCGTGTCAGAGCTGCTGGGCTAGTTCGGCTGGAACGTGTACTGCCTGTCCCCCCTCTCCATACACCTGTGACTCACTTCCCCCAGTCCTCCCGGCAGAGTCCTCTTTTTTGCAGCCTAGGAAAATGCCAAGGCTGGGCCCAGGCTGGGGAGGCCCTGGTCAGAAAGGCCCTACTGGGAAACTTTTCCTCCCCTCCTCCAATTCTGCTCTTTTGTTTCACAATCCCCAGGATGTTTTCTCCATCTTGGTCACCTAAGGCACTGAGGTGTCTAAATTGGTGGAGGGAGGGTGTGTGCCTCCTTTGCCCTTCCGCTCTTGTCCCCTGCCTTAGCAGAGGGCCCTCCAAGGTACTAGCCCCTGGTTCTGCCAACACCCTTCCCTCCCTATATGGTTAGAACAGGCCTCTTCTGGCAGGGGCCGGGGGTCCACAATAGATCTGTGAATATTCCAGATGCTCCCCGCTATCCTTCTGTCCTGACTTCCAAGTAGTGGGGGCAGGAGACTGGTGGCAGATGAGAGTGAGCTGGAGGAAGCTACTTGCCCTGAAGGGGTGATAGGAGATGGGAGTGCTGGGGGAATTCTGATTAGAAAGGCGTATTTCTGACCGGGTGGGGGTCTGGGAGCTTTGGAATAATCCTCCTGCCTTGATCCATCAAAGGATCTAGATAGCTGGAAGGGAGGGCATTACCTCAGTGTCTGTGGGGTTTAGTGTCCTGCTCCAGGGATTCAGGGATTCTAAATTTTGAGTGCTGGGCCAAGGTCAGGAGTGAGGGTGGCATGAGGTGCAGGCAAGATTATAGTTTTCTGGGCCCAGCTTCTCTATCAAGTTGAATTTCTTTATAATCCTGAGATGGGGGCTGAGGAGAGGCTCCCTAAGCACAGAAGGTCTCTGGAAGTCGGGAATGGTGGGCAGGGGCTGGATGTCTGTGAGGTGAGGTTGAAGGAAACCTGTGGGCACGGATTTCAGGCTCCCTGCTGAGATACCCACCTCCAATGCACCCCAGCCATCCCCAATCCTTGGCTGGATTATAAAGTCCAGATGCAGAGGGCTTTCCCTGTGTACCTTTCCCTTCCCTGAGCGCCTCCTTATGAGGACAAAGATGGCAGCCCTCTACCCAACATGGACACACAGCTGCAGGGCTCATAAACAATTTGAATAATCAAGTCAGAAGTCCGTTTCCCACCTTCCCATGCCCTCTCCAGCCCTGGCTCTGCTTATGTGCTCAAGAAAGAGCCAACAGGAAGAAGGAAAGAAGTCCTTAAGGCCCAGAGGGGTAGAGACTGATCCAAGGACACTTAGTGGAACCTCCAGATCCTTCCTCCCAGGCCAGCTCTTTATGCTCCCAGGGCAGATAGGAGACTGGGAGTGTGTCCAGAATCCCTGAGCTCTGAAGTCTCCCTTCATTCTCCTCTCCCCTTGATTAGATAAGGACCTGCTTTTGCTCCCCTACTCCACTTCCTGGGTAATGGCAGCTTTATCACCAGAGTCTGGCAGAGCTCTTGCCCCCAATCTGGCCAGAAGTCCCCACCCTCCTTCCACACTGACTGTGTGTCATCCCAAGTCTTACATGTTTATTTATTAATAATATTGTGAAAATGTACACAGCAAATTAGGTTCCCGTTTAACAATTTTTATATTAATTGTTCCATGACATTGGTTACATTTTACACAATGTGTCACCATTCTATTTCCATTGTATTTGTTTTGTTTCCATCAACTAACTTTCCTGCCCTTGGTTTAGGTAACAACCATTTTGTTCCCTGTTGTTGTTGTTATGTGCCATTGAGTCGGACCCGACTCATAGGGACCCCTCCTTGGGTTCCTGAGGCAGTATCACTGAGGATAGTAGATTGCCCCATCTTCCTTCCAAGGAGTGGCTGGTGGGTTTGAACCACCTGCCTCCTGGTTAGCAGTCAAATGCCTTAGGCACTACGCCACCAGAGCTCCTATTTGGTCCCCTGTAGGTGATTAATTAAGGAAGCACAATACTCCATACTCTACTTGCAGACATTTTGTTTATTTTCTAAGCCAACCTATTATTTGGATGAAAAGTGACCTCTGGGAGTGGCTTCAGTTCCAAGTTCTTATCTCTATCAGTTCAGTAAATCTGGCTTATTTTTTTTTTAAGGAATTTGAGTTTTCTACATTTTTATCCCATTCTATCAGGAACCTTCAACTGTGGCCTGGTCAGAACGATTGGTAGTGTGGTAGTGGTAGCAGGGCACCCAACTCTTTCTTGACATGACCACTTCTCCCTGGGTCTGGCAAGCACTGTGTTCCCATGATGTACTTACAAGCGCACCTGCATGGGGTCCTGCTCTCCAACATGGGCCCCTCTTAAAGGGAATGGGGTGAGGGAGATGGGCAGTGAAGGCGTACTAGAGGCCCGGACCAGGACTCATGGGGATGGGAAGTCTGTGGCCAAACACCATTTCCAAGGTCATCTGCAGGGCCATGGCTGCCCTGCTCACTGGGGAGTTTGTGGGATGGGTATCATGGGACGACCTTCAATGGCTATGCGGGAGGAGGGACTTATGGTATTAATTCTTTCTTCTAGTTCTTCTTAGTTCTAGGCATTCAATATTATTTTACTGTTTCTCTTGATTAGAGAAAGCAATAGATCTTTGTATTGAAAGAAACCTAACTTAGAAAATGGAGTCACTCAGTAATCTCAGGTATAGTAGGGATCGTGAGGCTGGCACAGGACTGGGCAGTGTTTTATTCTGTTGGACATAGGGTCACTATGAGTCGGAGATGAATGGATGGCACCTGAGAACAACAAAAACAGTATTCTAAACTTCAGAGCTAATGACTGTGAACGGGTCTTTGTGTATTCTTCTAGGTATTTTTTTGGTTCTTATGTAAAAAAGGTATGCATGTGACAGACATGACATTCTATGATGCCTTTGTATGGTTTTGCTTTTCTCATTTATATCTTAGACATTATTCAATGTCAGAACAGATGGATTATCTTCATCTTCTTTGATGACTACCTGAGATTCCATTGTATGAATGTACCATAATTAAAAAATTAAACCCTCTGCTAATGAGCT